GCATCCCGGCAGCCCACAAAGACTTTCTCTTCTTGTGTTTTTTGACTTCTTCAGTTCAAAGTATCTGAAGCACCGAGAAGGCTGTCAGAGCTTTCCCGAGTGGTTTATTTTTAGCACGGCATCAAAAGCACGCTCTGTGCCCTGAGGCGTGCCCTTAGGTGATGCAAAGACACTTGAAAATATTAAACTCCCCCTTTTCAACAGAAGTGAGCTCTTAAACCTGCCCAGACTTTCTAGTGGCTCAATTCAGTCCTTGTCGTATTTCATTTGACCGGATTTTATTTGATGTTTCATTTGTGAGACGTTGCTCCCCATGTAGGTACTTATCGAGTCCCTCAACCCCCCCTCTCGAAAGTGCTGAAGTCCTGAAATCTCTCGCCCTAAAGGCTTTGAGCGAGTCCCGCGGCGCTCGGATGATCCCAGCGGTGACTCTGGCCCCGCGATTGCTGACTGGGTGAAATGAGAACCCCTGATTATTTTCACAGACGGTGTTCCTGAGGAGCAGGCTCGCAGCCGCTCGCAGCGTCTCAGCCCCTCGCTTATGAAACTCTCCGCGTGTGCAGGTGGGAGGCGTTTCATCCGGAGCTGGAACATATCAGCCAAGCAGAATTTCCTTTGAGGTGCAGATAAGCAGATTCTGGTGATAGAGAGGCCGTGCTCAAACAGACACTGGGGTTCCAGCTTTCAGAACAGCCTCTGGGGCCAAAGGGGAAGGAAGTATTTAATATTGTGAACATAGGACATCTAGAGAAAAACAACGCTTCAAGATGCATCACTCTCAGACACACGCCCTGAGCTGTTAACCCGCTGCTATCAAGGGAGCGCATCCCCCAGGCGGCCTCGGAGCTTAGGACACGTGCAGCGAGGCCGAAGGTTTTCTAAGTCCGTGCAGTATTTGGGAAGAATTCTTCAGAATTTGGGAAGAATTCCTCAGGAACTGGCAACAAAGAGTTGACTTATTGTGCAGGAAACCTTGATCAGCTGTGGGGAAAGCTGATCACGGACTTGTGTGTATTGAAAAATCAAGTTGTCTTTGTGAACAACCTGAATGGTCAGATTACAGAAAGTAAATCCCTGCAAAAAAACCAATTCCAGCCTCTTCACTGAATGCTGCAGGGCTCAGCTTGCTTGGTGTTGAGTTGTGAAACATGTCAGGGCACGCACAAGATCACTTCTTAGAAATCGCAGCTCTTTTCAGCACCAGCAGAATTAAAAAAATATAATAGTCTCCACTTTCAGAGAGCAAGCAGAAGCAGCACTCTGCACTGTCCAAATACTATCAAAAAGATATAATGGGGTAACAAAGTTGTGGTCAAAACCAGGAGAAGATATAGGCAGACTCTTAGGCAGTCTGGTTCCTGAAAGAAAATCTTAGAAAAAACGGTAACAAATCAAGCACAGTAATAACAAACCAAGTATTTCTGGAAAAGCGATGGCGAAGCATTTCCTAATTTCGGGTAGACCCATCTGCGCTCCAGTGACAAGCACTAATGAAGAGAAACACGGGCAAGAAGTTACACCATGGTCACAGACGACATAAATGCGCAGGTTAGAGTCAGCAGAAGGAAAAAGGATGATTCAAGGGCCCCCCCCCCGGTTTCTAGGGACACGGGAGAGACTGACCATGAAAAAACCTCATCTCGGGGCCGCCGGCCAGATTGGCCGGTGACATGGCAGAACATCCAGCAACAGAGGCTTTCCCGAGGGTACCCGGCTGGAGAAAGGAAGAACGGGCTAGCGACCTGCCGTTCCAGGACCTTGAGTCGCAAGATCATGCTGTATCCTGGTAGCTCCTGGTGGGATGGGGGCCCGGGGGCTGTGCAGCTGCGCCCCGAGGAGGCGCGCGTGGCACCCCAAGCAGTGCTCATGGAGGGACACCCAGGTCTTCATCCCTCTCACCCCAGTGAAAGGTGTTGCAAGAGACAGTCTGCCCACAGCTTCCAGAAGCTGCCTCAAGATGGTGCTCCAGCCAATTTTCTGGGTTTTTGAATGAATTTGCTTGCATGACAGGTCTTTGCTTAATAGGAACAAACGAGGGTGGACTGGGCTCAGGCCTTGCAGGGAGCCTTCAGCTGCCTCTGCCAAGCCAGTGCTCGCTTTGAAAGGCTCATCGCTTCCAGCTCATGGACTGGAAGCCCCTGAGCGGCTGCCGGGAATGAGTCACGAACAAGGTCCCCATAGGAAAGGAGAACTATGGATTCATAACCTTGACCGTTCTGGGTAGGAAAAGTTTATTTGTCCAGCTTGCTTTATAAATAACCCAGAAAGCAGCATCTTTGTTTTCATGATCTCGGACTGGGACGTGTGGAGGAACCTTGGCAGAGTGCCTGTCCGAACCCTGGCCAGGGAGACCAGTCCCCAAAGAGGCATTTTATTTAATGACTCGCAGCATGCAAAATACCGCAAAAGGATAAGACCAAGGAGCAGGATCTCTGACTTTGTGGCATGGGAGTGCTGTGGGCAACGGCACTGAGGACCTTCCTGCTCCCTCCGGCCCCCGGATCTTGCCAAAATATATCCTCCATCCATTCCGTGTTGTGCAGTACTGTAAGGAGAAACATCAGCAACCTCCCCACGCTGCGACTTGATATGGCCGGGCTGCATCCTGAGTGAGAAAAAGGGTTAAAAAGAAACTGGGGCAATTTTGTGGAGGATGGAAAAAGTTGAGGTCAAAGAGCAAAACGTTAATGGAGGGATTCAGGCAGGGGACCTGTGGAGTCACCAGGAGGGTAACTGCAAGGAGAAACTGAAACCCTGAGAGGAAAATTAACCCTCTGTGGGCAAGGTTAACCCTTGCTTTTTAAGTCTGACAGCAGGAACAGTCTTCTAGCAATCATTTGCTACAGGGATGAGGAATCAGTGATGTTAAATTGGGAGAAGTACTTATTGTTTGTGTCTAGGATGGAGAGATGCCTGGCTTCTCTCAGCAGCTGATGGTGCTGGATGCCCCTCTCAGAGTCAGGCAGAGATGCCGTGGCTAAGGAGGAGCCAGGCCTCTTCCTGACTGCTGTCCCACAGAGGACTCCTTGCTGGTCCCATTCCCAGCACTGGAAACACGAGGATCCCCTGTACCAGTGGTATGGGGACCGAAAACAGCAGTAATGACGAGCTGATCCTTCCATTAATGATGGGGTTTTTTTCAATCCCTCCATCATATAGTGTTTTTCTCCCTTTTGCAGGGCAGGCAAAGCTTCAGCTGTTCTTTTTATCAGAAGAGCTGAACAGGTGCTGGAAAGGGGCAAATATTCTTTTACACCAAGTGGTAAAGCTGAGAATCAGGAACGGTGCAGGCAAACGTCACCCGGGCACCTGAGCCCCGCATCGTTTGACAGGAGACTGCACAGAGCCCGATGGTGCTCAGCTAATGAGCGTCGGAATCCTGTAAGCCTCAGTCATGGGATACGCATCGGACACAGAGAAGTTTGCAAAGTATGTGGAAAAAGAGAAAAAGCGGCGGGCGAATAGCAGCCCTGCGCTCCGCGCTGCAGGGACGCTTAGCCTGCTTCTCCCGCAAGCAGCTCTTCCCCAGGCGGCTTCGCCTCCCCTAAGTCTGCTTTGCCGAACGCTAAAGACTCAAACAAATCTTTAAAACTAGATACTTCCCTTACCCAACCCACTCTTCCTTCAGCCCTTATCTGCCCTTACCTGTCTCCACTAGGTCGCTTTAAAAGTCCCAGACGCTTCCTTCCTTTGTTTGTCTTGGCCAGAAAGGGAAATGTCTTGTGTGTCAAAGGTTTGCTGCAAATTCCTGTCCAAGCTCTTTAGTACCTCTGGCCTCAGTAAATCAAGCTTCTTCGCCTGACTAGGGATTTGCACAGTCAATCAGATGCTCTCCCCCATTCTCTCTCTCCTGCCTGCACACGGGATTGAGATGGAAGCGACAAAACGACGAGGGGTTAAATCCCTACTGGCTTAGTGCAACCTGGGGACCCGAGAGGGAGTCCTGGCTTTCAAAAGCCAGAGTTTCTCAAGGTCTGTGCCACTGTCCCAGGTTTCCAAGAGCCTGGCTGAGATGGATGAAGAGCAGATGGCAGAAAATGAGCCCTGAAGAAGTGGTGGCTGAAAGGGAAAATATGAGCTATTTCAATCTGAATACGAGTCAGATTTCAATCTGTGAATGATCAATACGAGTGCCTCTCAGGGAGCATCGGCTCCGCCAGGACCTCATGGAGACCTCCCCCAGCAGCCTTCCCCTTCTCTGCCCTCTCACCCTTTCTGTTGTGTCCACATTCCTGTTACCACCCGGGTTTTGTCCTTTATTTTCTGCATCCCATCTGCTTGTCCCCATGTGGCAGCTCCCAGGACTCAGAGGAATCTCGAGAACATCCGTTACTGAAGCAGGCAGAACGGGGAGAGAAGTTTTAATGCTCCCTGTGCAGAGAGTAGAGGGTACAGGACTTGAGGTTTCAAAAGAGAAATGTTCCGTTACCAAGCCATCCAATGACCCTACAGGCACGAAGCTTCCCCTGTGGGTGATGAAGATGCTCAGAAGAGTCCCCATTCTCCTGGTTTCACAAGAGGAACTAGTCACTTCTGGAGCGGGAATTTATGATGGGGTTGGCACGATGGTTTGGCGAGACCAGAGGTTGCTGGTAGAAGAAAGCTTGAGAAGCACCGTTCCCTGGCATGCTGGACTAAGCAGCTCTGGTGGGATGCAGCACTTGTCTTAAAACTGGCACAACGAAGCCAGGGGCAAAATTGAGTGTGAAGGGAGTAATTTTCAGGAATTCCTGGCAGCTTTCATGCCTGAATTAGCTTCTCTGGGTTGTTTTCCAGTGAGCTGCTCTGTGCTGTGTCTGAGCAGCGCGTTAAGAGGGATGGAGTGAACAGATCAAAGAGCATGAAACATTCTTGCGGGGGGGTGTGTGTGTGTGTGATTCTGGGTGTTCTTGCTCGTCCCTTCCTCCTTAGGAAAATCATCTGGACCTACAGGCTCAAAGCAGGACACTGGGGTCCTGGCTAGAGTTGTGCAGGAGTTGTAGAGCCTTTATGAGCTCTACCTGGACTGCAGCACCGTTTCCCCAGCGCCCCTGGGAGGGAGACTGACAGTTCCGATCATCCTGCAAGAGTGAAAAAAGCGGTAAGCCTGAGCCATGTTCTGAAGAGAGATGCTGGTCTCCCATTTTCATCCCAGACCTTTGCCTTGGTTTCGCTGAAAAGTGAAAGGAGAGACCTCTCCATCGGGTGAGCAGTTCAGCGGCGGCAGGTGCAGAACAAGAGTGTTGGGTCAAGTTTGAAGCTCACTCAGCCTCGACGGGGAGGGGTGCGCTAGCTAGCCACAAGCCTACCGCGCAGGCAGCACTTCGGTTGGGAGCTCCTTCCTTTGCAGATGAGCACCTTGATCTCAGCTCCCCCCTCTTCTCCTTCTCACCGAATCGGCCCCGTGCGGTCGCTGGCGAGCAGCACACCTGACGGCGGGGCGCCCGATGCCAGCAGCTGCTGAAACCACAGCTTGAACGAAGCCAGCCTTCCTCTCCCTCGCTCAAGAGAAGGCTGTGCAGCACGAAAACAAAACTGAACCAGATTGTTCTCACCCTAAGCTCTCCTGGCAAACAGGAAGTTACGAGCAAGGGTGGAAGAGCAAGTTCATGGGCTCTTGGGTAACAGCAGGAACATACCCCAGACACCACCTGCAGTGAAGTGGGAGAAATGCTTCCCAGGTAGACGCCCGCATCTGGCTTCACCCGGCCTGCTGATACACCGACATCTGTATCCAGAACAGGGGACAAGTTGAGCACTTGCATTCCCCTCCCTGAGCTCTGCCTTCAGATGAAACGTTAAACTGATGCTCCGTCCGCCACAGCAGTGGTTCAGGTGCAAGCGGCTGTTGCCAGAGCTGCCGGTATGGCCCGGGGGGAAAACTGCCCGAA